CGAGAGCCGGGAGTGGGGGCGGGGCCTGCGGGCGGGCCGGGTCTGTCCGTCACGGGCCCGGGCACCGCCTCGCGCGCCGCTCCGGTCATCGTGGAAACTCCTCGCGGCGCTGGGATCGAGTCCCGTCGCGTCCTCTGTTGCCGTGACAACGCCCCAACTCCGCCCCCTCCGACGCCGGGGCGCTCCGGTCTTGGCACAGCGAGTGTTCGGGACCCCGCGTCGGGCTTCTTCCAGCATCGCCGTAGTTCTAGGCCTGGCACGGGCCCCAGCGAATCCTGCCCCTTAAGGCCGAAGCGGGGGGCGACCTCCACAGAGAGAAAGGGCAGGGCAGCGGGGCGCAGGGGGGTCCCCCCTCCTCCTCCCCCCGGCGCGGGCAGGGCCGGGGCTCCAGGAAAGGGCGGGCGGTGCGGGAAGGCTGGAGCCTCTCCCCTGCCCGGCCCACGCGCAGGCCGACACGCGGTCCTCTCGTTCATTCATTTGACAAGGATCTGCCAGGCACACATGCCCGGAAACAAGCGCAGGAGCCTCGAGCAGGACGGCCAAGGTCAGTGGTCAGCAAAAGTGCAGAAGGACCTTTGAAAATTTGTCCGCCCCCTTCCCTCATAAAAGCAAGGATAAAACTAGCAAAGATTGCCAGGAGCAACTTTTTCAGAACTCTGAAAATTAATCAAAGGCTTTCAGCATCCCAGGGAGTGGTCATTCAAGAAAACAGGTGACTGTCAGTAAGAACAGTGAACACTGTGGTGTTTTAACTTTCCTTGGTTCAACCCTGCTCTCCAGATCAATGGTAATCTTGGAAACAGCCCACATTTCTGATACCGGAGGGAGCAGGATGCCCTCATTTGCAAAGATTTGTCGTTATTTACCTTGTCTAGTGGCTCCCTGGAAGACACCCTTGCAAGACTGACTCAGAACTTGCCCAGTGCCCGTAGCTTCTTCCTGAGGCTGTTTGTGGAAAGCAGTTAAAGGCGAGTGTTGTAACTTCACAGCTGCCTGAGGAGATGGATAACAGTTGGGGCAAACAGTAGACTAAACAAAAAGCTTCAAAGGAAGAACAAGGGATGAGATGTCCATAGGAGCTTTGAAAAGCCCAACACATTTCTGGGAATACAGGTCACACACATAAGTAGGGTGAGGAATGTACTCAGGAAAGACCTGAAAAAAGCCCTAAGCTCTCACCTCTGGCTGACCTCGAGGCTCTGTGCAGAGGGAAGTAAATGCTAAGGCCGAGTAGTAAGCTGCATGGCTTGGGACTGAAGGCGTCCTCCAACGTACACACAGAGCCTCTTGAGAAAGACTTGAAATTTACTGGTTCCAGGCATGTAGGAACTCTTGGTTCAATGATTAGCTGAACACTAAGCTAACCAGTAGAGACTTCAGTGCCACATATGACAAGAATACAGACTCGATACCCCCACTTACTTCTCGTGTCTGGCTGAGAAACACGGAGTGTCCTGACCCCTTTCTGACTAAGCCAGCTACGTGTCTTCCCCTGCAGGACTGAGCCCAGGCCAAGGCCTTGAACATCCCTAGGCATTGAAAAAGCTGTTTAGGTTGTTGCTCAAAAACACTGAGAAGTTGACCCTTTTGCTAATCATGTAGAAACTGTCCCCCCACCCTGAGCCAAATTCCTTAAACCCTTATATAAAACCCGAGAACCCAGCCCTCTTGTTGAGAATATATGTAGGTAGAACATTCCTTGTCTTCCATCTCTTTTGAGGATACACAGCAGTCCCCCTCTGTAGGTAAGTTCCCCTAATAAATGCTTTGGACTGATCACCCTGGTATTTCCTTTTTTGGAATCTGAATGGGCCCCATCTCAGAGTGATTTGGGACACTCCATTGTGGGAACTCCCCTGTCTTCACTTTTGGGGTGACTTCAGCTATGGATTTGGCTGGACAAAACAATGTTATTTGAAATATTCACTGTTCAACAAAAAACTGAGACATGCAAAGAACAAAAAGTTCTGACCTATAAACAGGAAAAAAGAAAACCATTCAATAGAAACTAATCCTGAGGAAGCCCCAATGTTAGACTTACTAGATTTACAGTCTTTAATCAGCTATTCAAAATATGTTTGAAGAGCTGAAGGAAACTATGTCTAAAGAACTAAAGGAAAGTATGAGAAGGTTAATAACGAGATAGAAATTATAAAAAGGGGGCCGGCCCGGTGGCGCACTGGATAGTGCGCCGCTTGGGAGGCACGGCGGCGCTCCCGCCCGAGGGTTCGGATCCCACATACAGACCGGTTCCCGCTCGCTGGCTGAGCGAGGCGCGGGAGCAACACCGAGGCTTGCAATCCCGTTGCCGGTCCGCGGTCCGGTACGGGGGCAACACTGAGGGTTGCAATCC